AGCTGCACAATTTATCCAACGGCGATGCTGACTATAATGTGCAATAATAAAAACGCAATGAGATTGCTTGGATGCAGTTATGATGGAGCTAAGATTTTAAGTGAAATGCAATCAAACTGGGCTTGATTAGCATGAAACTAAAGGTGATCAGGACTAAGATGAATTGTGAAAAGATAGAAACTTTATTTACAATCAATGCTGTTTTTGCAATATCATAATATAACTGTTTTCTTATGTAATGCTTTCATAGACATAAAAACAAATAGAAGAACAACCCTGCTTAAGAAAATATGTCCCCAACCTTCTCGGAATTTGAATACTAGTGAGGAAATATGACAGAAAAGCCTGCACTATCCTCCAGCTACGTAACCTGAGGACTTTGCTGTCAAAAAGCATTAAGAAGGCCAAGACACTCGCAGCTAAGGATGTCAATTTAAATGCATTCATGCACATGTTCTTTCAGCAAGTTAACAGTGTACAATCACCTCCTTAGCCCATGGCAAATTGAGCATCAAACTCAAGGATGTACTCGCATGTGACTGAACAACAACCCTATACATAAAGCAAACAAGATGTTTTTTTTTTTTATTCTTTGCAGAAACATCCATGTGGTATCATTTATATCTCATTTTTTGACTACTGGAATTCTTTATTCTAAGCAAGCCCCAAATCAAGCTGGACGAAATGTTCAATGATGCACAGATGCTACAGAAATAGTTCTGATGAGAAGAGCAGAGATTACAGGTAACTTCACGACAGGTTTATTGGTGGTTGGAGTATCTAGAAGTAGTTTTAGTCCCAGCTTTAGTCTGAAGAAGATACAGTGTATGTTTAACGACTAGGCTTAAAACTCTCCTTTTTCAATTGTTTCCCTTAGCTACCCGCATCTCATTTTAGTAGCATTTATTGTGGCCATTAGCTGAATATTAATGTGTTTTCTTTTACATGCAGTGAGCCCGAGAATTATATGGTAAATTGCATTGAAATAAAGCAATTTACAGATCTTATGGTACCCAAAATGCGTTATTGCCCGATGAGTTTTTAAATCAAGTAGGGCTGAAGCAATTAATCGCATTAACCAATTATTGAAATAATCGTCAACTTATTTAATAATCTATTAATCGTTAACTGTAGTGTAGAGACTGTAAAACATGCCTTTAGCTGACAGATGAACCCACTTAGAGCAGTAATTATGCCAAGATAGAAATAAATATTTTGCATTTAAGATAAAAAGTTACTCTGTTAATATGCTCTATCCAGAACTCCTCAAATTAAAAGGTTTGAGTTTTACCTGGTTTAATTTAATTTAAAAAAAAGTCTTCTTTAAGGAATCTTTATCTATCAGATTATTAATCAATTAACAAAAAATAAATAATCTTTAGATTAGTCGATTTGCGAACTAATCATTAGTTGCAGCCCTACAATCAGGCCTTAACTGTATGGAGGTTTCTTCTTATTAAAGAGGCTTCATCGTTGCCGGTTTCTTATTCAGTTAAAGAGATTGCTGCAAAGGAAATACAGTCAGCTGTCTCTCCTTAGACTATAAACTCATTTCACTGTAAGGCACTACAATTAGGGTGGAACTATGATGCATGTAGGAAGATCTGAGTGTTATGTGAACTCACTCTATGGTTATGGACTGAATTCATTGATCCGGCTGGTAAAATTTCATTTATATTAACTGCATATGGACATGAATATGGATATGTTGTAGTCTATTGCAAATTAATTCAACTATATAGAAGATATTCACTTTAGCTTCAGGAAAGATGCAGACCAACGGCTGTGAGGGGGGATATTCATATTGTTTCTGCATATACAGGAAATTCCTTAACAGAAAAGACTAGGGAAAAGCCACGTCACATGACAGCTGGTAGAAACCTGCTTAAAAAGCATAAATAAACAAACCAATATGTTGTTGATGCTATTGTTTCACTTCCTTTACAAGGAGGGAGATAATTCACCTGAAGAATTTCTCAAGTCCACACCCATACACAGCTGTAGCTAATCAGACAAGTACAAAGTCTGACTCAAATGTGCCACTTTAACTTTTATAAATTACTTTTAGTACATGTTTAACACAGCTGTCAGGTTTAGTTTACTGGTTTCTGGTTTGTTATTAACATCTGACATACATAAAAAAAAAAAAAGTAAAAAAAATTGCCAATTGGTTGACATATCGACATGTCCACATAGTTATTGTTTGTACTAAATATCTTGGGCGGTTTCCCCAAGGAGTGTAAATTAATCCGCGGCCGCCTTTCTGTCACGGCTGATTGCATGACTTCGAGCTGTCAGCCCGGCTGCTGCTGCTGCATCCACATTAGCAACTCTGCTAGCTCCGACACGGCACCGAGTAAAAATTCAGAAAGTTACTTCACACTTACTGGCATGCTACCCGTCGGGTTCCTGGTATTTATGTCCTTAGCGGTGCCAAAGATTTCGGTAAAAGACTGACCCTTCGCTAGTCCGTAAATCTCCTTATTAATTCAACACCATCAGCTCCTTCCATCTTCGTTACTTTCTCCCGGTCAGACTAGCAGCAACGGAGAAGACGCCAACTCCGCTGAGTGACAGATGCCATACCCAATCAGAGAACAGGAAGTCCGTTTTAACCACGCCTACAAAAATTCTGACCAATAGGAATAGACTTGAGGCCACAAAGTGATAATTTCCATAATCATGCTAGGTTGTCGTTGTCATTCTCTGATCTTTTACAATCATCTGTCAAATATGCCCATCAGTTAGAGATATTTCACAAAAATTTCTGAAAATCTGTATCCTATTTGCCTTGTTACGTTATTACTGATGGAAGTGATTTCAACATGTATTTTTTTTGTACAGAAATTATAGCAAAGCTACTTGTATTAAATATATATTAATATTTATGCTTAGTTTTAGATTGCTTTAATAATTTATTGTCAAATTTTAGAATAATTATTTTAACATTTGATGATTCACCAGATCTTATGCAAAATCAGGGCTGTGTATATTTATAGGACACAAAACACAGCAGTGTGGCACTTATAACACCAGGGATTTTCCAGACTTCATCGTTGCAAGGATTATGTGTTGAATTGCTTTTGAACGGACACAATGGCAAATCTGTGATTTTTAATCAGTTAATACTGACAAAAACGTTTCGGTGGATAAGCTGCAAATCTGCTCTCAGAAAAACAAAGCATGCACGCACAAATAACTCCAGTCAAATGATCATCTTTGTCAGAAAAAAATACTATTTTTATTGCGAGCTAGACATTCCTGGAAGCAGAGCTTTGAACATTTTTTGACCGTTTACTACACGTTATAACAGCAAAGTCTAAAAAAGGAGACAAAATCCTAACAGAAAAGCAAAGTGAATCTTTGCTGCCCCCTGCTGCTTGTTGATAAAATTACATGTGAATAGGAAAGTCATAATGCAAACAGGGTGAGTATTTCTGCTGTGCAAAAAATATGTGGTCCAAAAAAGTCTGGGGGCCCAGATTTCATACAGTATGTAATTTCATAGTTTCATCAGTGAAACATAAAACAAAACACATGAAATAAAAAAAAGAATATAACTATAAAACTGATGGATATTTCAACCTGGAGAGACTCACACAGAGAAAGGTTGCGATTAGAAAATATTGAATTTATTTGCTGATGAAGATTCTCAGACAGAAAGAGACTGAACAAACTAGTGAGGAGGGCTACTTCTGTCCTATGCTACAATCTGGACTTGGTGGAGTAAGTAGCTGAGAGGAGGGTGTTGTCCAAGCTTACATCCATAATGGACAACACCTTCCACCCTCTGCACCAGACTGTAGAGGAGCTGAGCAGCTCCTTTAGTGAAAGACTTTTACACTCTGTTTTTAAAAAGGAGTGCTACCATAGGTCATTCTTGTGCAATAATTAATGTGCAATTACTATTTAATACCCTGTGCAATAACCTGTCCAATAATCCTGCTAAATAAGAGACTTCAGCTGTTAGTTATCTCACCACCTCATTGTTGTTGTTTACCTGGTACCACTTTAATGTACAATGCAAAATCCAAATAAAATTTCTGATCTCTTTCTTTTTCTTGATCTACTGTATATGTGTACGCACTGTACATACCCCATGCACTTTTCCCTCCTTTTGACACCTTCTTATGACTATTGAGCTGATGTGACAAGTGAATTTCTCCACTATGAGATCAATATAGTGAATTTCTCCACTGTGAGATCAATATAGTCTATCATATCCTATCTAGGACAAATAACCTAGAAAAGGATTAGAGTAGCATTCCCCCAGGGCCCGGACTCTGGTGGTGGAATAAGCCAGAGGATGAGTGGGATTGAGAATGAGGGAGGAGATGGGGTGGAGGAGGGTGAAATTTCGCTTGCATGTGGCAGAGAGAGGCTGAGCCCGGAGCCAAATGAAGGGGATTTTCTAAGATGATTGGCTTCAGAGAAAGTGCCGCACCCAAGCTGATTGGCTGGAGCTGAACAGGGGAAATCACAGGTGGTTCAGGTAAACCTGGTAAGAGTCTTCCAGAATGAATGGATGCTTAAGGTTCATTTCTGAATACTCCCCTCTTACCTACTAAAGGATATGGGCCCAGCATGGCCCTGGAAGATGAAGTGTGTGTGTAGATGGATAGATTTATGTATTCTCGTAGTTAACCTATTATTGCACATATATGAAATAAATAATCAATACAAAACCAGTACACATTGATGTTAGTATTTGTTTTCTGTTTATTACTGAACATATTTTTATATTATCGTTGTTCTCTGTGTTTATTACTGTGGTATTCTGTCAATATTTTTTCTGCTTTAAACTTTGAAGTTACATGCACAAAGTAAATAAGATGTATAAAATGCTAACCCGAATTTGAGTATAAAACAACAACAATAAAAAAACTAAAATATTAAAATCCAGGAGACATCCGTTTCTGATCATTTTCCTAAGTTATCCTTAATACTGTGTAACGCCATTGTTTTTAAAATCTAAATTACATAAATCACGAAGAGGAAAAAAAAAAGCAATAATAAATCACAATTTTTCATTTAAAACCCTCACTAATGCTTTTCAAATATTACAGATTTGCATTCATCTGTTGTCATTCATTCTTCCTTATAGCTTGGTTTCATCCATACCCAAATGTCTGGGTATGTTTTGTTTGTACTTCTGCTGTTTAAAACATTTATATTTTCAGTGCATTTCAGGATCTTGCAGGTAGAATGACATGAAATGCCCCAAAAACAGGACATTTCTAAAACCTGTAATTCAACTCTTGCAAAATAGTGTGAACATATGTACATATTTTATTTAAAAAGTGACAGCAGTTATATACCAATCCCGGCAATCTGTGCAGCTTCATTGTAAACTTCCCCAGCCTGTTGCCTGTATCTTTGCGATAACTCCTTCGCCCTCCTCACTTCCTTCATGTTCTCCTCCAGGTTGTCACACAGTCTTCCTTCTTCTTGGTAGTTTTCTGCTGCACCCTTTACTTGCTCGGCCATTTGGCTGTGGCCCCGGAGCAGCCAATCGATAAGCTGGATAAGCGCTGTACCCTTTGAGATGGTGGCTTTGGCTCTATCAGAAAGGCCCATGACTTCACTCTGTGCTGACTGTAGACATAGAGGTTTCTCCTCATTTTCTCCCTCTGGGCCAATTGGATTTGTCACAAGGGAGAAGTCGTAGCCCTTCATCTTCAAAGACACCCTGTATGTACTCTCTGAAGGCAAAGAGGTGGACAGAAATTACAATAATCAGCAAAAAAGAGCCAAAATCTTATCATGCTGTTTTAAAAGAAAAGCTGCAGCTTACCATGCTCTATTCTAATTTTTCCTATGCATTCAGCAAAAGCAAGGTTATCAACATTTGTACTGCCACTGATCTGTTTCAGCTTTCTGATGTGTTCGACCATGGCTTCATAGTGCTTTTGCTGCTCATTGAAGCTCTCTGCCATGTCATTAAACCTCAGATCCAAATCTGTCACATTCACCCGTCTCATCATCAGCTTTCCGATCCTTTTCACAGTCTGCACATCTGGGAATCACATATAATACACAAAAAGGATGATGAGGAAGAGGATTGTGTTCTTAAAACAGTTTATTGTAGATGTGAAACACAAACATAGGGGGTAGTTTACCATTGTGAGCTGAGGGGGCCTGTCTGGCTGATTCAGCTCCATTTATTGCAGCTGAGGATACGGGCTGCAGCAGAGGCTGCCTCTGAAACAGTAGAGATTTTTCTCCTATTTACACACATGCAGTATCAGTCTCATTTAATTTATTTCTCTTAAAATGAGTCATAAGTCTCAGGTAGCATTAATATTTTTATCTGAATGTATTTATTAATTCGGTAACAAATGGCATGACAAGACATAAGGGGTTTAACAAAAACACCAGCAGCAAAGTTATTGTGACAATCCTCAAAAGCAAATATGAGTAATGCTATTTTCCAATGTATATTTTTATTCTTTAATTCTTATGGGAGGATTTTATTAGTATACCAGGACTTTTTACCCTCTGAAATCGCTTGTACACCTTGCAAAAAGCCTTTTCTTGTTTACAATCATATATAAAATATGTTGAAACATGCCTTCAGAAAAATTATGACAAACTATGCCTTCCACCAACAACACCTCAAGTAGGATTGACATGAAACAAGTGAATCTGTTGAAAAGCCTATTGCATATTGTTAAGTATATTGGAGGATAAGTAATGCTGTGGGCTGGTTTCTCTTCCAAACTCATAATGTTGAGAGGCATGACATATAACAGATATAACAGCATTTTAAATGAGTTCTGGTGCATTTATTCAGTAAAAAGGACATAGGCAATCAATTTGTCATAAACTGATCAAAAGATGGAAAATCTGCATGCTATATGGTCATCTCAGTTCATACATCTACAGCTTTTTATTTTTCTGAAAAAATGTTTTCAATATTGCTATCTCTGCATGATCCAACCTCATTAAATGTTATAAAAGATACTGCAGTTATAATAATAATAATAATAATAATAATAATAATAATAATAATAATAATAATAATAATAATAATAAACATGGTGTAACATTTTGACAGCTCAGATGCAAATGGTATCATATGTGACTTTGGCAATATTTATTATTTCTCTCCTGTTGCATAAATATGATTAAATTAAAACATTAATCATAACAATACCAGCGTCAGATAGCACTTATCATCTTTGTTAGGTGTCAACAAATGTGTGGTTTTAAATAATAACCAATTAACTGAAAATAAAGCCGATGTGTTCACTGAGATTTAATGCAAACTAAAAAAAATGACGCCATTCTTCTAAGGAAGTAAGTAAACAATCTAAAACACAAATGAAAGTACCTTTTCTCCCATTGTTCAGTTTTACTCGCGAGAATTGACATGAAACTTAGTTGCAAAGTTACAGAGAGAGTACCTCATTAAGGTTATCGCTGGGGACGCAGCAACAGCAGAGGAGACGGAACATTTCCACCAGCTTCGCTGACAGCTTGTTTTCAGGTCACTTATTTTTTTCATCAAGTTTTTGTCGTCGACATTCCACATGACGTCAGTGTCACGCGGTCACTGATAAAAAAAAAAAAAAAAAAAAGAAAGAAAGAAAAACTTATGGAGGTGTGATAAGCGCGACAGGTGCAGCTTGTATGGAGGACCAACTCTGCCATATTTAAAAATAGATACAGAAATAAATAAATGCTTCATAAATAAATAAGCATACAATTAATTGCCCTCCAAAATACAATAAACAAATAAATGTAGGTAGAAATTAAATCATGCAGTGAGACATGAATGTATATATCTCTTTTAATTAGCTTCTTTATTTATTGTCCATTATAATCTTCAGCCTTATTTATGTATTACCTATTTTTTTAAGTTTTTATTTATGTGCATTATATAATATGCTATTTATTTCTTCGTCATTTTTACATTTCTCTATGCATTTCTGAAGCATTATGCAAATGAGGAGAGCAGAGTCTGAAGTCGAGTCTGAAGTCAGAGGCCGTTTCTCAATTCACTAGAATTCGAGTACGGACTCGTGTTCTCGCCAAAACGCACTTTTTACTGTACAACAGCAACAGAAAAGAAGACATTTAACTTAATACTCTGAGCTTTGTGAGTTAAGATGATGG